AAAAAGTCGTTTCTTTTTTTCTCTTTCTTTCGATTCACTTCACTAGACAACGAAAGATTCACAGATTAACAAAACCCATCTTCGGATTCCGAATCCCTAACCCACCAGGATCGGATTTGATCTCGATTCTTCCTCCTCGCTATTTGATCTAATGAAAAGTGTTGGAAATTTGCAATTTCAGATTGTTTGAGTCTTTAGTTATTGCGATAATGTCGCGTTTTCCCCGTGGATTCATGGAGAATTCATCAATGGAGGAACCCAAAATCCCTCTTCGTCCAACTATTTGCTTCAGGCCTATAAACCCTTCTGATTTAGAACGTTTGGAGCAAATCCATCGCGATTTATTCCCGATCAGGTATCTACAATAAATACTATGTAATCTGAATTTCGTGGATTTGACTTTCCTTTTTTTCCTTCCAATAAAGTCTTCTCAAAGATTTAAGCATTGATCTTCTGATTTGTTCAGGTATGAGTCTGAGTTTTTTCAAAATGTTGTCAATGGAGGTGATATTGTCTCTTGGGCTGCTGTTGATCGGAGCCGTCCTGATGGTCATTCTGAGGAACTTATCGGATTTGTTACTGCCAAAATCGTTCTTGCCAAAGAAAGCGAAGTCAGTTTTTCCTTCTTTTGCTTTAGTAGCTGCAAGGTCTTGTTTAGTGTTAGATTTTGAATGTCTGAAATGGGTTTCTTATAGTTGCAAGGAAATAACTTTGATTTGTAACGTTTTAAGTTATGATTGAAGCTTTGTTTTGAATGGATTTTGGGTTTGGTAAAGAAGCTGCTAGGTTTTGAATGTTTAAAAACAGTTTAGGAGATGGGTTTCCTACAAACTTCTTAAAAATCGAAACTTTTGGCAATTTCAGTAGCTTTTTGTAAGGTTTAAGCTATGATTGAAGCTTGTTTTGAATGAATTTTGGGTTTTTGAAAGAAGCTGCAAGGTCTTGTAAAGTGTAGGTTTTTGAAGATTCAAAAGACAGTTTCACGCGATGGGGTTCTTACAAATTTCTTAAATCAAAAACTTTTGATGAGTTTCATAATGTTTTATGGTTAAAGACATGTTGATCTGATGGGTTTCTTACATAAGTTCTTAAAACTTGAAAAGGGTAGCTTTTATAACATCTTGAATTTCAAACTTATTTTGTACTCTTTCGCGTAATGTAACCTATGTAGTCAAGGGATATTTGTTTCCGTTTATGTGTTGATGGTTTTCCATGCCTTTCACAGATATCAGATCTAATAAGATATGACTCGTCGAAGGGAGATGAGACATTGGTGTACATCCTGACACTTGGAGTTGTCGAATCATACAGAAATCGCGGCATAGGTATCATCGATAAATAACCTATGTAGTCTTTTCTCTTCTCTTTCTTGATTTTGTTAATTGTAAGCTCTGCAACATTTTTGGGCAGCTAAGTCACTTATCAACGAGGTCGTCAAATACGCTTCTAGTATCCCAGCGTGTCGTGGTGTTTACCTTCATGTAATTGCACACAACAATCCCGCAATCCGATTGTACAAAAGAATGTCCTTCAGATGTGTGAGGAGTTTACTTGGATTCTATTTAATCAACGGCCAGCATTTTGATTCTTACTTGTTCGTCTACTTTATTAACGGTTCTCGCTCTCCTTGCTCACCCTTGTAAGTACAAAACACTAGCCTCTTTGCATTTAAGCTCTTATCGCTGTGATGTTTCTTTGCGATTTTTTTTCCATATATGGGCTTATTGTTGAATCAATAATGCATTGCAGGGATCTTGCGGTGTTGGCTCTAAATTATATGAGAAGCGGAATCAAATCAGTCGCATCAAAGTTGACAATGAAGCACGAAGAGAAAAGCTTGAAATGGCTTAAATGCAAAGACAACACGAGGTGTCTCTTGCCTACTCAGACCAAACGAAACCTTGCAACCGAAAGATTATCATCAGGGTACGATTACGTCTAGTGTGTTCATCTCCGATTCATGGACACTGTAAAATCATTCATTTCCATGTCTAGAGCTATATAGATATGGTTGTTGGTTATGATCCTATTTGTGTGTTCTGTGTAGTTAATAAAATAATAAACGTACAAAATTGTAAATATTGTGATGGTTGAAAAACCTGTCTCTTAAATTAGCTTAGCTTGTTGAAAAAATAGCTGTGCTTTAATGGCGGAACATAGCTTAAAGCTCACTTGTATCCTTCAAAAGTTAAAATTACCAAAATACATTTTTGTGTGTGTGTTTTGTAGGGTAGCAATCGTGTCTTCTCATTCTTTTTTTACTCGCTTTCTCAATTGCGGAAGAAATCGCGACTTTTGTTCAGTTCGGTGTTTTTGGATCGGTTTTTGTATATGGTTTGTTTCAGTTTGGTTAAAGCAGATTGTCCGTCGAAAATGAAAATTCACACTGTATTTTTACAAGAAAAGTCTAATTTGTATGAGGTGAAAATGAAGCTGTGCCCAAACTACTAAATTCACTTTTTTCTTCTTTTGTCAATTACTAAATCCTCCTATAATGTAGTAGTAACTAAACTCTACACATGAACATGATGATGATGTCAAGAAAAGAAAAAAGTACTATTTTGTAATTTGTAAAAGAATTGGGATCAGTATACACAATAAAATGAAAGTTCAGGGGCTTTCATGCATTTGCTCCATAAA